TGTCCAAAAGATGTTAATGAGGGAATGACAGATGTGGAGCAAATTTTGTCTGACAAGAAAGAGAAAGTACCAAAAGTGGAACCACAAATGACAGGCCAAGAGATGATTTGGAAAAGGACACTTGACTGGATATACAAAAGAAACTGGCTGAAGTTTCAAAAACAAAATGGGAAATACAAATGACAAATCAAGAAAATGACTTGGAAAATGTTTTCTTACTGAATCTACAAAAGAGTCTTGTTAAACTCTTGAAGAAATCTGTGTGATGGGATAAAGATGAATTGAATAGAAATCAAATCCTATGACAATATTTGAATCAATTAAAGATTAAGACTGTTAGAAGTAAAAAGAAGGAATATAAAGTTTATTTATAAAGTTCTGGCAACCCTTTACAGACTCTTTGCTGACACCAGGATTGAAAATTTGACATTTTAGGGATTTGCTTATAGATAAGGGATGGGATAAGGGATGAAGAAATTTCTACTTGTAACCTTATAGGTGTTGAAGAGTTACTAAATTTGTCTATACTTGTTGAAATGAAGGCTGGAAGTCACTTCTTGATATGTTGCTTTTCTTTTTCTTTATTATTTCTTTTTTCTTTCTTTTCCTTTTTTCTTGTACTTTTTATTCTTTCTATTTCTCTAGTTATTACTGTAATCAAAATCCTTAATTAAAAAAATTATATTAAAAAAATGTTTGGAAAGATTGGGGAACAGAAACACATCTGCCCCCACCCCCCAGGTTTGGAAGCATTATGGGAGAACTAGCTAAATCTTTCAATTTCACAGTCCCTCCTAGCTTTTCCATTTCCCTTACCAAATATCTTGTTGCCTCTTCCCAACACTGGCACTGGGAAAACTGGCTTTGGGAGGTAGCAGAAGGTTTGGAGTAGAACAGGTTTCTAATACTCAGTTTTTCCTTTGGAGTCTAAGATCTTCCAGTCATGAAAGGCATAACTCAGAGCTTAGAGCCAAGAGCTGGTAAAACAAGACTTTAAATTTGAGCGATCTTGCGTTTGGGTTTAGCAAAATTTCTTAACTAATTCATAATTAAATCCTATGCCAGCAAGCCAAGGACATGACACAGAATTTGCAGATTCTGTGGAATAATGTTTAACCCTGCCATTCATCCATTAAATAGCACCATGAATTAAATATTTTCAGTCTGAGCACAACAGCTTTAGAAGTATTGGAATTAATGAAAAGCTTATACCATTTCTATTGGGGGGGGGGTTAAAATGAAGAAATAAATAATGAGATCTTTAAGGACAGTACAATAATCCATTTTTTGCTGCATTGGCTATTGTCTGCACCTATTCATCATCAGTTGATTTTGGTCAAACACTGCCTGAGTTCACAAGAACTACATGCCCAACTGTTCAGGAACAATCTGAAGCACATCCACTTTTTAAATTATCTCAACAATTTACATTCAAAGGTGAGTTTCCCAGCCAGATGTTGCAGATATGACAGGAAAGAAACATTTTATTTATTTATTTATTTATTTATTTATTTATTTATTCACAAAAGTATTTATATGCTGCTTCTCATCGTGCACGTTCCTGAAGCAGTTTATAAAGCAGTATTGTGGAGTAAAACGGTAATTCAATCCACCCCTTAAAAAGCAGGGGAATTAACAGTGGGAGGCTATCTTACAAGAAAGGTGTAGAATGTCAGAGGGCCAGTCTACAACTGTCACCACAAAAAGCCAATCTGTATTCCATCAGCCCCAAGTGAAATTTTCAAGCCATGTCTATCAAACCACATCTAACCAAGCTTTCTGTCCTGCACAACTGCCTACTAATACTGGGTGGTACATATAAGTCGCAGACTTGAAAAGCTTGCCTGTCCTTTCACTCTTCATCATGCTGAAAAGGCTAGAAATGAAGGGGAGATGTTGATCCTGATTCAGAAAGTCTTGCACCCCACAAGCTACAGGCCTGCAGCTGTGCTTGAAGATCTCACTCCTCTCCATCACCCAAATAATTAATATTCTCAGCTCAGGCATCACTGATTGCTGTAGGAGAAGAACGCAGACATTAGACACAGAACTGGCAAAGCCGACAGCTCTGTCTGGCAGCACTACTGTGATACATAAACACAACACCCTAAGAAGCAGGTCAGGTTCTCTGGATCTGAGATTCTGCATTCAGCAGAAATACTAAACCCCGATGCATGTGAACAGAATTCTTATGTCCAGCTGCACAGCATTTCTCATTCTATAGTATTAGTGTGAAGTAGCTTGTCCTAGTATTCAAGTCCTTTTCAGCTTTGGTGAGACTT